TGCCACTCTTGGCTGTTCCCGACGTATCCTAGACGTTTCTACAGGGACTGAAATGCAGCCTGTCTGGGCTTTCTTAGTTCTTAAACAGCAGTGTTGGCTCAGGCTTTTAGCATTAAGTGGGTCTCAATGGTTTGTGTGTGTTATCAAGTGAGGTGACTGATCCATTTGATTCTTTAAACTGATGGTGCTCTAGTACCCCTGTGTGAAGTGCTCAGTGGCTAAGTGTTCTTCCCTGGAGATGTGGAAAATGTGCTTTTTTCTCATCTTTTTTCTTTCTTTGTTTCTGTTTTCTCTCTCTCTGTTTTTTTTTTTTTTTTCTGTCTGAGCATATGAAGCTATAAAACACTTTTAAGCAAACATTAGTGATAAATATCTTCCCACTGTTGTGCAATATACCCTGCAGAGTCCCTCCTTTGGGACTTTGCTCCCATTGTGCTTGTCCCTGCCAGGAGTGCCCTGCCAACTCTGCCTCAGACAGCTCACCTTTCCTTGAGGGCTCAAATCCATTCCTACTCTCTCCTTCAAATTTTCTATTTGTCAGACCGTCCCAAACCTTCATGCTTCTTCTTTACAGTTCCTGGACTGTGCCATCCTTGGGTTCGGTGAATGAGACCATTATGGTTTTGTATTCCTAGCACTCAACGGGTGTACCAGGTATTGGTACCTTCAGTCTGCTTGTCCTTGATGTTGGGGTGCTGTTCTAAAGCACAGTAACCTAGCTTCTCTGGTGATTGAATGTGAGTCTGTGGTTCTAGCTACTGAGGAGGCTGAGGAGGCAAAGAATCCTTGGTGTTAAGCAATTCATTAATCTTTCTTCAGGCACCAAGTTCCTCTCTTTTCAAGGAAAGGATTGCTACTCCCTGAGGTCGCTCCCAGTTCTGCCCACCCCAGCTATAGTCTATGGAATATGATATCCATAGTGGAGAAGAATCAGGTGGGAAACCACATACCCTGAGGGACATAGCAAAAAGCACGATTTCTGGGCCAGGCATGGTGGCTCACACCCATAATCCCAGCACTATGGGGAGGGCCAAGGTGGGGCGGATCACATTGAGGTCAGGAATTCCAGACCAGCCTGGCCAACATGGTGAAATCCGTCTCTACTAAAAATATAAAAATTAGCCGGGCATGGTGGTGGGCGCCTGTTAATCCCAGCTACTCAGGGAGGCTGAGGCAGGAGAATTGCTTGAACCCAGGAGGTGGAGGGTTCAGTGAGCCAAGATTGAGCCACTGCACTCAGCCTCGGTGACAGAGCGAGACCCCGTCTCAGAAGAAAAAAAAAAATCAGCCAGGCTCATGGGCTCACTCCTGCAATCCCAGCAACTTGGGAGGCTAAAGGGCTGGAGGATCACATGAGGCCAGGAGTTCCAGACCCAGCCTGGACAATAGAGAGAGACCCCATCGTAAAATAATTTTTTTAAAACTTAAAAAATCAAAAAAACTTAAGGCAGGCATGGTGGTGCCACACCTGCAGTTCCAGCAAACTTGGGAAGGCTGAGGGTGGGAGGCTGCAGTGAGCCATGATCATTGCTTGTACCTTCTGTAGGTCTTGGTGTGG